CTCAAAGGCAAGAAAAAATCCTTTCTTACCTATTCCCCACTTATATTTTTAATAGCATAGCCGTCAAAATGCAGCAAATCAATTTTTCCCCCTTACTGTCTCCACTCTGCCTTTTCAGAATATTTTTAGTTGCTCTGATTAAAAATTTACCTCTAAAGTACCACTGAGGACACAGTGCATGTCTTGATTACGATTCTGTATAACTTTTTCAGCCTACCTATGTATCTTCCTTTCTTTCCTTACTTCCCTTATATTTCTAACAAAACAGAACTATTAGAAACTAACTTTGAAAGATGATAGGAAAATAGTCTCCCAGCAAAATGCAGAAAATACATTTTCAGAATGAACATGTGAGGCCATCACATGTGATGGGACAAGATACCTTACACAAGAGAAACATGGCATGCTAAGATAAGAAACACACTCGCAGGTCTTGCCCAAAGCAAAGATGAAAAACCTCAGCATTTCTGTATTCTGTATTGTAGGGGAGAGGTACTCACCCCTGGACTCTTATCTCTCTCTGTCTTCTTCATCAGGGACAATGTGGGTCACAAATGTGCCATTTCTATTACATATTCCACCATGTGTGATTAACCAGTATTTCCTCTATTACTTTGTCCACATATGCTTTAATTACCATCCCTGAAATTCTGCTTTCCTTGAAAAAATGTGTGCAGCCACAGTACTTATCTGAATGTCACCAAAATATAAGACTATATGAATGAAGGAACGTAAATCCCTCTTCCTGGGATTCTCTGCATGGCAGCAGTTTTCATTTGCTTATTCACAGTGGGCAGAGACCTTTCTACCTTTTGAATGCCACTCAGCCACCCTTTCCTTTTTCCCGTGAAATCTGTTTACTATCCAAATCTGGTGAAGTCTTGACCACTGAAAAAGAGATTACTTTCTGATTTCATTTCTGTAGGTCATTCATATTGATTAGACAGCTTAGACAAACTGAGTAGTAAAAGACCTAAACCTAAAAGATATGAAGGATAAAACAGCCATTGCAAAAAGTAAGGGAAACATCCCTTTCTTTTCTTCCTTTAGTATCAATATAGTCCAAAACATTCTCTCTTTTTTTCCTTTTTTTTTTTTTTTTTTGCAAATGTTTGTTCACTAAAATGTTCCAAGGGGGAAAATGTCAGCTACAAATCCTCACTCATCATGTATTTGCACAGCAGTGCTTAAAGGTCCTTAAAGATCTCCAAGGATTTGAAAGAAATAATTCAGACAGGTCGCAAAAAACAGTGCCATTGCCTTCCAGTGTCTGGTTACACAGCTCATGCAACACCTGACAACTCCAGGCAAGTCACAGTGAACTCACTTCACACACCATGCATGGAGAAATTTATTCCACCATCCAAATGTATGAAAGTTTAACTGTTTGATGTTAATGCATCAAGCAAAAATAGCTGCAATACACAGGATGGACTGTGGAAAATGTTTTACTCACTGCAAAGAGACACTTCTTCTCTGCTTCTCTTACAGATGGCCTGCTCCTGTTCTTGCCAAAACCACCAGAGTTTCACTCCATTTCCTTGGCACTTAGAAAAGTCACAACTTTTCCCTCACATATGCTGGCTGATTCTTTATATACCTGAGTAACAGGTGTGTTACAGCCGTATTTTGCATTATTCATCTTGGATGAAGTTAAACCCTGACTGTGTGACACATCACACGTTACTCAGTTTACCTCAATGTTGTGTTTTGCTTTTGCTCAGTTAAGTTAACCTAAGATGCGTTTAGCCTGGAACAGTTTTAACTACCTCGGCACAGAAACTTGGCATTCTCCTAAATTTGTGCTTTTCAGCAATGAGACTCCTTTCTGCTGTATTTTTAAATTGCCTGCTCTTCCCTAAAAGTCGCCTCAATATTATTACCTTACAAATCAGGTAATCGAGATTTACTTGGTTTCAGGCATCTCCTCCTTGCTGAAACAATTACTTGTGCCATGCTTTTTCCTGCCCCCACTTTCCTTTTCCCTGTAGAGAAACACATTTTCACTGCTAATACACACCATAACTGCAATGTCCTATAGAATGGGTATCAGTCCAAAGCCCAGTGAAATCTTGAAAGGTTTCTGAACCATAGTAAAGGCAACTATGCAGTATTACACAGACAGCCTCTATAAAGGATCTTAATTTAAAGACTTTTTTTTGTGCTATAAATTAGTTTCATTTGTATAACATTTTCTATGTTCAGATCCTTATAGTCCTATAATTAAGGAAAGTAGTTTAAGAAGGAAAATAAGACTACCAAATATCCTAATTCCTCATGAAACTGGTGTTTTTAAAGGATTAAAAAAATCTGAATTTTAAATTTTAGAAGTGACTAACTACAAGCATGAACTTATTATACTGTTTGTATGTAACTAACATTCTAAACAGCGGCACTACAGTTTTTCCAATCCTAGACACTTTTCTCTCATCCTCCACAGCAGATTCACAAAAAATTCAAGATAATGATTACAAGTACCTAGATCTGTAACATACAGATCCATAGCAACGCTGAGGATCTCATATGTTAATTTCTGTGCCCAGAGGCTTTTCTGCAACACTGAATTAAAGAAGCCACTGTATCATTCCCATAACAAGATGATTAGCTACGAATTAAGACAAAGAAGAAAACTCTTTTCAAAATGTCAGTCTTCCAAGGCCTTTAAAAAACAAAACAAAATTACTTATGTGGCTAACATCATCAGTTCTCAAAAGTTCCATAAATTCACACATCCTGCTCTAAGGAAAAAGGGCAAAGTAACTGTTATGTTTTAGTCTTCATTTATGATTCCTTGTTAATGCAGTACATAATCTCCTTGGAATTACTGATTTTTAATGGGACATTTGAAAACATTTCTTTTACTGCTGTTGCAGGTGAAAAATCCAAGAGGACCACAACATCATTTACCAACAATCCATTAGTGTCACCTCTCAGATTCTTCAGATATAAAGGTGAGAATTTTTTTCTCCTTACAGTGTCAAAACATATTTGGATGTCTGCTGAGTGAGGTTTAAATGGTTTTAGAGAACAAAACTAGTAAAGATCCTAAATCTGTGTGACAATTCTCTGTGAGCAATCAACCTTCCCATCTATTTGCAGAAGCCACAGAGGGAACTAGAGGTGTACTCCTTGAGGAGGAACAACTGTCATCCCTGGAATATATCAAAGGAGAAAACACACAGTAGAAACCCAGAGTAGTGAATCCTGTCTCTACCTCACCACTCTACTGGTATGGAAAACACTATTCTGAGCAAAGAAGAGAAACATGACCTGTGAGTTGAGCCATGACTGAGGCAGTGCTGCTGGCAGGCTGTCACAGCATATGTGGATTTCCCCAGTAAGATGTTGAGAGTAATCACAGAGTAATACTGCCACTGTTTGAGGAAGCAGGGAACAAGATTTCTCCAAACTTTCAGACTTGGAAGAGCTATTTTTGCACCACACATAGGATTTCCCGTAGGAGATGATGTAACAATGAAGATAATTGCTGGTTTGGTATCACTGAGGAGAATGTAGACAAAAAGTGGGAACGAGCACAGAGGTGTTACACATACAATAAACTTTCAGCATGAATAAATGGAAGGACCAGTTCCAGAAAGAGGTTCAACAACACAGTTTTCACAAAAAAGTGTTGATATTACTGTATCAGAACCATCATGATAGAAGACAGCAGGATCTGTGTGAAGATCCTTCAATGTCTAGGTACTTGTGCTGACTGATACTACGGTGCACTCCAAGTGACAATAAGAAGTTATCCCTATCTGCAATAAACTTGCTTCTTGATTTCGCTGAAAGATACAGTCTGTTCTTTACAATGAAAAGTACTCATTAACTGATCCTAACCTGTATTCCTCTTCTGCACACACCATCTTGAGTAAAGGGTTAAGATCCTTTCACATGATTTGCATGTGAGAAAGACTCAAGAATTAGTGACTCAAAGCTTTAAGATGCCCACACAAACTTCATTTCCATTTCTGTTTCTTCAAACAGCACAAACAAACTCATATAACACTACACAAAAAGGGTAAAAGGGAAAAAAAAATCAAAAAATAAAAATTCACTGAAACACCATGAAAACTAAGCCACAGAACAATCTGGCCTGCATCACATATCAAATTCAAAAGATCAACAGGGTTAGATACCTGGATGTAGAAAGAAGAAAATAAAAAATCTATAGGTGTTGGAGAATAACATGAAGCATTTTCCTGTCATCTTCAGAAAAGGTTTATTATCTGCCTTCCTAGAGCACTTAAAAAAGTCTCAAGACAAATCATTTTAAACCTCAGATTTAGTAAGCTAGATAGCCAGCAGCTTTTCTACTTGATTTGGAAACAGCAAATTGAAAAACAGTACATATGTAGCAGCTGATACTTGTCTGGTTATGAGGCAATTGTTATTACCAGTTGGACAAATAGCCTGTGCACTCCCTGGTCATGTCAGTGCTGCTAAACACATATGGTGTTCTGAAACCTGAGAGATTGTTCAACAGCATATAAATACGTGTCAGAGAGAAATTAACAAGCTCTTTTTTTCTTTTCTTCCAATTGAACACCAACAATAGCATTTTGCAACAAACCATTATTAGCACTGATGTTATAGTAAAGCTCTACTAGTGTGTCAGGACTAGGAGAAGAAAGGAAGAGAACAAGGAGACAAACATCAGTCACTTGGCAAAGAGCAGGACTAGAATGTCAGACACACTATGGACAGGAGTGTCACGCACTGCCAGATGTATTGAGGAAGGCAGCTGTTCACTGTTGCTGTCAAAACCTCAGCACAAAGCTTTGGGGTAGTCTGAATACCAGAAGCTCAGTACTAGTGGAAAACTGAAAAATAGATAGTATTTCTTTTAAGTAAAAAGTGTCTTTTTTTCTGCTGTAGGAAAGCTCTGGAGCTGAAAAATGAAATGTGCATTGAGAATTTATTGGTATACAGAACTAAAATATTCAAAAACATTTATACAGTGACCACAGGAAAAAGGTGTTAAAATTTTTACTTACTTTGGATGTGCAAATTCATCCAGTAGGACAACCTTTTCTATCAAGTCTCCACCAATGGTTCGAACCAAATCATAGAAATCATTCTGAGAGTATGTCTCAGAAGGCAGCCAAAAGGAGATGTCATTGATCAAAGGTGGGTATCTGCTGAGTGGCTAAAAGAAATTAAAAAACCATACCTTTATACATGGTTGGACTTCATAACTATATCTACAACTGTTCTGAACTTACATAACACACAAAGTACACAGTTTAGAGGCTTTTTAAAATGCTCTTTGAAGTGCAAACTGACCTCATAAACAACTGAGACGGAAGATTTTATACTAGGAAATGTCTTTTAAAGATCCCCTTGTAACAACTTTGATTTATTCATTCAGAAGAAAAAACTTGTTTTGTTTGCTAAAATCAGAGTTTATGACCCTGAACACACTTTTGAAACAGAGCTGTTTAGAAGAAAGAGATAATGTAAGGTGGTTTTTCACTGGGTAGAACTGCACTTTTTGAAAGCTTTTTTCAGACTTTTTGCAGATTCAAAACTTCTTATCACATTCAGGTATAAAATTTATATGCATTTTATAGGATTCTTATATTACACAACATATTTACTATTTTTTATTTGTCAGAGTTTTAACAAAGTCTTATAAACAGGCACCTTTTTGATAAAATGTTATAGTAAGAAACACATTTTGGCTTGAAAAGCGAGATCAGTTCACTTTCCAGTGGTTTTCATAGACACTCAAACAAAAAAAGGTATGGCTGTTAACATAATTATTCATTCCACAAGTACCACAACAGGCTTTTAAGCACAAAGGGGTATCTTTACTGCACAAAGTGGACATGTTTTGCTGCAAAAAATCTTGCATAAAGTGGACAGACAGTGTGACTTGTTATTTGTAAAAACAGGAAGAGAAAGAGAAATGAAACCAGACAATTAACTTTTCAGTTCTGATGAAACTTCCCAGGACTTTGTGGGTTTCAGATCTCACCTTGGTGAGATGTTTCTCTCTTTGAAGAACAGAAAATGGTAACATTCTCCTTTCATGACCTCTAGGTTATATAGTAACTTACTTCTGCCTTGCATTAATTACCTGCAGTTGTAAAAAGTACTTTTGTACAAGATTGTTGGAGTTTGTAGGAGAAAACAACTGTTTTATTATTTTGTTTATATGTACAAAAGATCCCATGTGTACACCTTGGTATATACAGTATAATATCTCACTGAAAAATGTATTCCATGGCTGGGAATGTTTTATGATGGAGCAGTGGAAACTTAAGTGAGTACCTGCTGAAGCAATGAATCCGTTAATAAGGCAAGTTTACAGCATTCTGATTTACTCTAATACTGTTCTGTAGACTGTAAACTAGTCAATAAATATCTGATAAGGAATACAGTGTAAGTTTTAAATTAATAACCCCCCCAGCAAATAAAATTGTGAATCACAAATGATTATTGAACTTGTTAAAGGAATAAACTTGTCAAATGAATTCATATCCTGTACATCAAATTAAAAAAAGGAAACTTGCACAGCAAATCCATTTCAAAAGAGCTTTTGATAAAACACTAATGAATGAAACACAAATGTCTCTGGTACACAAAAGTCACAGCTGCAAATGCTGGATATACTCCTTGGACAACAACCTGATACATGTGTTAGTGTAAATAAAGTTATAATCCTGCAGTGGACCCCTATATTCTCACCTCATTCCTATCTACCACTTTATTTACTACTGCTATAGCTCAGAAATATACTGAACACCCTTCAAAGTTTGGCGGGACTAATACAAAACTCACTCAACTCGTAGTTCAAGACATTTAATCATTCAACCAGAAAATGTGGCTCATGAGCCTTAGCATAATGAGGAACCTACTTGCATTCACACAGGTACAAGGACAATAAAGATAAATAATTATATGTTCAGGTAATGTTAAAAATAATTAATGTTCAGAAAAATAATTACATGTTCAGAAATTCCTGAGCTGGTTTTGGCAAGAATTCACAGGGGCTAGCATGGGACCAGGTTTTGGATTTGTGCTGAACACGGGGTTGGTAACATGGAGATGATTTTGTTATTGCTGGGCGGTATTTGCACAGAGCCGAAGCCTTTTCTGCTTTCCGTACTGCCACACTGGCAAGAAAGCTGGGGAATTTGGGAGGAGACACAGATGAGACAGGTGACCCCAGGTGACCAAAGAGCTATTCCAGACCATATGACATCCTGCTCAGTATATAAAGTGGGAAGAAGAGGAAAGGGAGTGATATGTGGAGTGATGGTGTTTGTTTTCCCAGGTAGCCATTACATGAGATGGGGCCCTGCTTCCCCTGGAGCTGGCCTGCTCATGGGAAGCAGGGAATTAATATCTTGTGTGTTCAGGTTTTTCTCTCCAGTGTCACTATTGTGGATACAGAATTGTAATTTTGTGTGTGTATGCTTGTGTGTGTTACAAAATCTGGAAGGATAAATGCTTCAAACATAACATAAGCATAACGTTTTATTATTAGCTACTAGCCTTTTCTCAGAGCCCTGTAATACAGAAAAATCCTTTATGGGAAAAGGCAAGGCAATAATCCTGTATTATACTGTCCCTTCACCACCTGGCTGCAGTCAATATCATTGCAGTAAGTCTTATATCAACACTAAAGTTGGTATAAGGATAAAATTCCTAGTTCTCAAACGTATCGATCTGTTTGTTGTAGAGCTACAAGAGTCACATAATAGTTTATTAGCTACACCTAAAATGCGAATAGGCTACTAAAGACTCTCCCATTGGCAAGCCAAAATGAAGTTCCTTAATTTGTATTCAGGCACTCCAGCAAATACATACTGTGGTCCACCAGACCACTTCTCCATTCTTTGATCCTTTCTAAACTCTCCTGCTCTTTAACAGCAGACTTGCCTAGAGTCCACTGGCTTTGATCCTTTTTCCAAGTTCAAATGGAATGCCAACATTGGAGACCATTTCCTTATGAATTTACAGACATTTCAAAGGCTTCCCTTGAGAGAAATGTGCTCTTCCCACTGTATCTGCTACTCTGTGGTCGCCTCCAGCCACCACTTCCAGCTACATTCTCTTCATGGCTTAGGAGTCCTCCAGCACAATGCTTAGAGAAGACACCAGGACACATCTGCTTCTGCAGGCTGTGTGTTGGCTGAACCCCAGCACACTACCCAAGCCTGGAAGCCCTGATGCTCCTGCTTCCATTCCTGATCACCTCCTTAGGTTTTTGAGGAACTGAAAAGAGGTTTAGAAAAAGGTAGAACTGATCCTACCTCCAGAGTGCTGCTGCAGGGCACTGGCCAAGTGTGTCAGTAAGCACTACTGATGCACAGACATCCTTTTGATTCCATCAGAGCTTTGCCACCACAGTGCTACTTTGAACGCTCTTTTTACTTTCAATTTCAAACACTTACATTGGCATTTTTCAACAGCCTCAGAGAACGAATGCTTTCCCAGAAATTACACTATCTATATCCACTGAACCCATCTTGCAGGGAAATACTGCAACTGAATTACTATAATTTCTTTAAATAATGAAATGGAAGTTTATGGTGATCCACCCTCAATGATATATATTTACTAGTCATTAGTCAAAGTTATTTCTCTGGCTAATAAATAAGCCAAGTGCTTCCTAAAACTGCAAGCTTTTCACTCCCAGGATGCTACTTTTAGTATAGAAATGAGTAGTTGGAGACCAGTACTATAAGCCGCTCTGCTCAGCGTGCCTTGCCTATGCCTGGATGTACCTGAGGAGTGCACCACTGAAAACACAGGGCTGTTACTCTTTCATATGGGTTGGTGATAGTTTAGGGCACTCCTCACCTCTACCTCTTTGCTCTGCCTTTCTGTCTGAGATTACTGCCCCTGCAGCAGCTGATAAACATGTGCCTGTTCCTTTACCACTGCAGCTCACAGCCTGCTGTTGCCAGCTGAAAATTGCCCCTCTCATTGGTTTATGTTAATATGTGCTGGATGAAGAGTTGCAGCAGTTCAGCTCATTGGGGGACAGCTGTCTTAAGCAGCAACAAGATCCACCAAAACTAATTTGTCAGCATTAAATAGCAAATACTTGGTCTCTGTGTATGTTGACACACCAGGGAACTACTCTGGATGCTTTGGCAGCAGGAATCAAGTGGTCACCGTAAGAGTGGTATCTGTTCATCCACACCTGGCAAAGGATCCCCAGCTAGGATGGATCCAGACACCTCACAGCTATAAGGGAGAGAAATCTCCTCTGAGGGCAGAACCTCCCAAGCCATAGTAAAAACAGCCAGTGATAATGCACAGCCAGTGCCAGTGAATAACCCACACAAGGCCATGAAGCATCTTTAGCCCAGAGTCCCAGAAAACAGGATGGACACCAGCACTTTCCACAAATATTTGTTATTAGGAAAAAAAGCCACTTTTCACCAGATGCAGTTAGGTGCAACATGGCAAGGGGACAGCAGAAATTTTGTGCTGTGGCTGTTCATTCCCTGCCTGCCACCAGCTGCAGATGGGACAAAACAAATGGGTGACAAACACAGCAGAGGGAAAAGCTGTACTTGTATTTTGACAGTGGCGACACAAATGCAAGGTTAACGACGACACGTACCAGAAACTGGGTTAGCAATTCCACAGCAGCCAAGCTATTAAAAAGTCAGCCATGCTTTACTGCCATCACCAGTCTAAGTCAGAAAAATATGAGACTTAGCAGCATTGTGGTTGCTAAGCTTTAACAGTCCTGCACTGCCCATGTTTTGGAGAAATATCTACATGAACTATATGGTTTTAATGCAACATCATATTCTTATCAAAATGAAAACTACAGTCCTGTAATAACTGAGCCTTTCTTAATATATTCTATGGTGAAACTACATTAATTCAGTGTTATCATAGGAAATTTAAACACGTAACAGGCATGAAATTCAAATTTGCAAATTTACAGCAGTAACCTACCCCCATGCACATAATGAAGTTTCCTGTATTAGTGTGTATGTTTCTAGATTTACACTTCCGTATTTATGACCAGTGTAGACAAATTACAGTTGCTGCAGGGAATATAACTTCAAATTTCTTGGCTGCCATGGCTTAAAATTCAGTCAAAATGTTCCCCATTATTAAAAGTTTTCTGCCCTCCTTACCAAATTGATCTTTTCCTTGGTTTTGTATAATAAGTTTTATAATAGTCATACATGCAAATACATACACACATGCACACATATACATTTTTATGTGTAAACACACACACATCTTCAAAAGAGGAAATGTAAATTTCAACAGATAACTACCATAAAGTCTGATAAGCAGATATAAAATATTTTCTGGAATTAAGCTCTTAAAACCAAAGCAAATGGACTAGTCATGGGATCAATGCACTGCTCTGTCCTCCTGCAGGGAGTGGAAGAAGCGCATTAACCTCCACTGGTGCTCTGAGCTTCTTGGTGAATGAACACAGAAGTATGATCAGCCCTTTTTAGACACCAATCTGCTCATCACAACAGAGTTCTTAACTTTGAAAACCTCACATACAGGTACAGGGAACACCATATGTTCATGGGAACACCAAGTGCTTCATGGATTTCAGGCACTCTGTACATGGACCATTCTGAGTGGAGAAGGTTTTCTTTGTACATGGAGATATTTAAGAACAATCTGGAAGCAGTCCTGTCCCATGTTCCGTGGGATGACACTGCTTGGGCAGGGAAGTTAGACCTGACAACCTGCTGTGGTGCCTTCCAACCTGACATTCTACACCCAGGCTGAACAGGGAAGTGCCCTGGGAACACAGACTTGTCCTCCTAAGTCCCAGTCTTCAATGTGAGATGACAAACCCGTGGACCAGGGCCCTCTCTGCTGTGCAACGCATGTTGCCAAGAGAGCTCTGTCCCCTTTCCACCTAAACTACACCCTATGGGGTCTTGTTGGAGATAACAATTTCTTTCTTGAGCCCCATTCCAGGTTACCTGAAGGTGCAAAGCATAAAAGAGCTTCATTGCTTATATTCTGCCTAAGCAGTCACCAGGTAGCTCTCCGTATCATCCCACTTAGTCACCTTTTTCAATGCTCATCAGGCACCTTTGATCAGGTAAACCCCCTTAAGATACAAAATAAATGCACATACATGTGCACATGCACAGGAACAAGTGCAATGTCTCTTGCACGCTAGAAGTTCATAAAGGTCATAGAGAGGAACTTGCCTGACAAAGGAATGTCAGTGTCTAATATGACACTGAAAGAATTAGAATGTGTAACAGCCAGTGAGGAGATTATGATGCCTAGGGAGGCTACCTGAAACAAAGGCTAGAATGAAGTAGGTATTTATTGCAAGGCCTTCAAAGGATACACCTTGGGCAGTACAAGAGCCCATCCGTGGCTCTACCCAAGAAGGACAGCCAGTCAAGAGTTTTACACTTTTATAGGTTTTCGTCCATTTACATATTGGGGTTAATTGTCCAATTGCAGCTTCAGGTTATGAAGTCCCATCCTCTCAGACTGTTCTCCTCAATTCACTGTTGGTTATACTTTTTGGGGCCTGAAGCTGCAATGGTGTCCTTGGTTCTCCGTCTGGCAAAGGATTGTTTTGTCTAACTAAACTGTGAGGAGAACTTGCTAACACTTTGTGTGAAATTCAGAGTTACATACTAATGCAGTACAGAATCTGGAAAACATGAAAGCTGAAACTTAACTCAATTAAACTTCTTTGATAAGCCCCTCCTCTTCCAAGCAGCAGGAAGAATGCACAAGAGGACTGGTGCTGTGGCAGAATGAGTGAGTGGAATGCTTGCCTTTACACACATTCACCCAAAAGTAATGCTGATTACTAAACCTCTGTGGCCCCACTGTAAAGGGACACTGTGTTCTTACAACATTTAATTAAAATGCAGTAACTTTATTTTAAAGTCAAGCCTGTTTAAATTTGTAATGAAAAATGAGTGAAGTTTAAAGTCACCATATACTTCTCGGAGTACAAATATGCATTTTAAACTGACCTGTGGACAGAAAGCTGAGAAATAAGGCATGGCTTTTGAGAAGATTTCCAGACACAAAAGAACACTTGTATTGCCACTAAGATAGTTATGATTCTAAATTATTAGTAAGGAATTGAAAAAAAAACTCAAGAAGGACAAAGAAGATGAAAGTGTTGACCTAATTCTATTAACAGCAAGGATGTTACAGTGTACACAGCAAAGATATTCCCAGATACCTGTTCCCTTGGGCATTTGGATATGCCTTGCTTCTTGGGATCTGATTATAAAAACCACCAAAGGATAAGTATAAATTATTCCTAAATACCAGTGATGGACTCCATGTCCTGTATTTAATGAGGCAAAAATTACTTCTCACTTCCATAGAACAAAGTAGGACTCACAGGAAGAATCACCAAAAGGGATGGCTCTCTACTACTCACTCCCATATGAGAGCTCCTTACAAACCCTTTTTGAAGTATCAGGGTGAAGAAGCGATTTGCCTGACATTTTCCTTCAGCAGTTCTATGTCCACTGTGGGGAAAAAATGCATTTTCCTTATGCTTCTTTCCCAGCCTCCTAGCTGATAGCCTGCTGAGCTAGTTGGTTTCATGGTGCTTATCTTCCCCCATTTCAATCACAGATATATCATTGCAAAACAACTAAAAACCAAGAAATGCTTTTTCTGTTATTGCTTTTCCATTTGAACAGTTGCTACCACAGACCTGATGTACACCAAGTGGAACTGATGGGACAATCCTTACAATGTTGTGATGTCTTCAATAGAAAACAAGCAAGCTTCCATCCTGGGAAAGGAATCCAGTGATTTGGAATGACCAAAATGGTAAGGTGGATTCTCACACCAAACTAGTAATTAACACTTTTGACCTCCTTTTGCATAGGCTATCCATATTCTGTCTGTCCTTCCTACCCAAATATCCCATGCCACAGACAAAATCACAGGCAAGGGTAAAAAGAAGACACAAACCTCAGAAAACAAACTGTCAATGAATAAAAAAAATCATATGTGTCCTGCACTTCTCTAAAAATACCTGCCAAGCCTGCAAGGAACAGGTATTAGCTGGTATAAGTCAGCAGAAACCCAGCTTCCCAGAAGATACTAAGAATTTTCTCTTCAGCAGTGCTGAGCACCAGAAATTCCTGCAGAAGGCTTTGGTGCTCCAAATGCTGCAGGCATTTGGTGTTTGCCATACTCAGAAGTCAGGGTTCCTCCTTTCTGATGGTTTGGTCTGTGTATTTTTTTCTCACTATGCTTAATAATAATGCTGAGATAAATAGCTCAGTGGAGTAAAATACTGTACCCATCAACGATTCATATAAAAGAGTTATATCTAAATAAACAATGCAAGTATTTGGAAAGAGTCTGCAGCAATATGAAGATGTATTTCTTCCAAATACATAGCATAACAATGGAAGCAAAGTGCACCCAATATTTTATTTTGGCTTAGATGAAAAACCTCATATAAAACACTGTTGACTGTATTTCCTTTTCTGCTCATTAAATGTACCATTCTAGAGAGTTACTGTTTAAATTGCAGAATCTCCAGAACACTTGAATGTGACTTACACCAAAATAAGCTGGCATTGTGAATCTTACATGCAACACCTGAAAGAGTTCTTCTTCCCACCTAACAAACAATACTTCTTTTTTCTCTCTCCTTCCTAAAAAACATAGAGATTTCCAATACAACAGCAAAGACACTTCATATTTCTTGGCTATATCTTCAGATAATGCCCTGGACATTGCTGTGCTACCAAGGAATTATTTTTCTACACTTCCTAGAGCTAATCTGTACCATCTCAACATGTAGACAAATTTACCTAGGAAGGTTACTGGTGGTTTGGAAATATTCTTAAGACTCCCAGTAGCACTGATATAGCTAGGTTTCCTTCTTGTCCAGGGAAAACTGCCCAAGTGGCAGTGGAAGAGGCTGCCCAGGGAAGTGGTGAAGTCACTGTCCCTGGAAGTGACAATTCAAAAGGTGAGTGCATATGACACTTGGGGACATGGCTTAGAGGTGAATATGGTGGTGACAGCATAATAGTGGACTTGGTGATCTAAGAAGTCTTTTCCAGCCCTAAGGATTATATGATTCTACGACTCTTGCCAAAAACCAAGTATTTTTAGTTTCCAGAGTAGCCAACTTCACTTCTGCCAAACCACCCCCCCACTTAAGTACTAAACTCATACAAATTACAACCTCTAAAGTTCAAAACTCAAAATAAAACACCAAGGTAGTGTAGCAAGCTAAAACTTTAAAGTACAGTAGGTAAGCTAGAGCGAAACAGAAATAAAAAGCTCTATTTACTTGTCCAATACTCAGAAGAGCAACAAAAGCCTTTAATGTTTTTCCCTCAGACAGACCCTCAGCGATCCTAAAGCTATACCCTTGTTAAAGAGTAACAACTTTGAAAGGGATATCTACAGAGAAGCCCTAAGCTGAGAACAGACCAAGCACAAAAAGGCACAAAAAGTACACTAAGCATTTCAGTATGCAATGACAAAATGTAAAGAACATTTAAATCTCTACAAGCAGAATCTTGGTGCAGAACAGGTATTTCTTTAATGCCTTTCCTTATTTTACAAGAATCAGAAAATGGGTTCACTCTTGCTGATTTAGGAGAACAGGTTACATGTGGGAATAATTATGCAAATTGGATTTAAAACTTGTGCACAGGCAGAAGGATGTAATTAATCCTCAAAAAAGGGATTTCTTCCCATTATTAATTTTTCTAAAACTGAAAAGCCAAATCCTCTGCAGCACATGTACCCCAAAGCATCACTTGTCACGTTTTGTTTTAGGGTGTCACTGCAGTAGTTCATGTGTCTCTCACACTTGCAAGATGAAGGAAATTGAGGATTGATATGATAAGAATAATACAGTTCTTCCCAACTGTGCCTTCTGTTGTTTGGCTATTCTCTGCAGACTAATTCATATTCTGATCAGAGAATCAGGGTTTTTTATTAACACCATGTACTTCAAAAGGTGCTTCTGTTCATGCACACACACATACAGAGATTGTTCTTCCCAGCCCTCATTTCCTAGGGACACTCCACAGCTCAGCTGCAATGTCTAATCATGCTACAGATGATGACCATAGAGGTTTAGGCATGATTTTAAAGATCACTTTATCAAAAGCTCTCTGCAAGATGTATCTTTTATATGTAAAACATTGGCACCAGAGTTAAAAGAACTATCAAATAAACTCATGTATGAAACCCTCCATCTTTTCAGCTAACTCTGGAAAAATGAATAAGAGCTTATTTCCTACTAGTTTCAAGATTTTTTTCTTTTCCCTTTATACTTCTGTTGTTGTGTGTGCACACCAGCACATGCCTGTATCTCTGAAGACACATACTCACACAGTGTGTGCTTGGACACAATTTAAATAGAAGTTTATTCTAACATCAAGTGCATAATGTGTACTCACAAAGATGTATTTAAACCTGCTACAGGCATGCACATATTCAGATCCTGTTAATTACCTAGGACTGCCAGCCAGAAACAAGGGTCCCATTACGTAGACAAAGCACAAAATGCTAATTTGTGTCCTGAAGAACTTTCCATCCTAAGGTAGTTTGGAGAAGAGATGCCAAGGCAGGAGGTACAAGACAACTACAATTGTAAACAGCATGGAAAACAGAATTACTGAGTCACTACTCAGGTCAGGGCCAAAGACCAAACTCAAGATATTTCCTGTGACATCCTCCTAACCAGCATTCTATTACTCACAGTGTAATTAAACCAATATTGAAAAATCATTGGAAATGTGTAAGGGTTACCCTCCTTACTAGCTACATACTTTTGCAGACAATAAGCTGAAAGCTCCGAACATATGTGGACTCCTGTCAAAATCACTAATAGCTGGTTTCACAGAAGCTACGTGAAATGTATTGTTATTTTAGATTTCCAGGTTTACTCCTTCACCTAATATCACTTTAATATGGGTTTCAGCATATATATCACTGCTGGAAATGGCTCCATGGCTTATTGAAGCACTTTGTATAACCATTATACTTCATCATTTGGGATGCAATAAAGATCGGTTGATATATTCAGCAGCAAAATTACTCATTTGTGAGCTATTTGTTTCAAAGAGCCTCAGCCAGTCAAAGTGCAAATATATGAGGTTTAGAGATCAGAGAAAACCGCTGTAATATATGCTTTTTGAAGCTTATTGCAGTTTTGCTAAGTAATAATTTAGATAGTATCAGGTGTACTTTTACTAGGGTGCATTGGCTTCTGCCTAGGGAAAAATATGCATCAGCAGTAAAATAGTTCTAATGACAGTAACTGTACAGTGCAGCAGCATTCATAACTGCAAAATCATTTTTTATCTACATCACATAGAAGAGATGCAGTCAAAATCCAGTCAAGACTACAGGAGCTTCTTTTTGTTTAAAAACAGATTGGAAGGAAGCCCCTGGTGGTCTGTTCTCAGTTGCTGGGAATGTCTTTCACTAGTACTGAGGACACACCTGCTGGGTATATTCACCTCTCACCTTCTATTCTGCCTCCAAAATCAAAAGTGCTGTCTCATCAGTTGTGCTGACGGCATGAAGCAACACTGAGAAGTGGATCAGGGAACTGATACAGCTTTAAGGAACTGCAGAGGAAAAAGCTCTCTGATTCATCTCACAGTGTAGCCAAAAAAGTGGCTCCTGCTGTTCTGTGGAACAGCAAAGCATGACAGCACATGGGAACATGGGCACATGGGAAACAAAAAAAACCCCCTTATGCTTCTCATCCTAACACTGTGAGAAACAAGGGTCTGGGGAAGAGTGGTAATGAACAGCCCAAACCCACCAAAACCCTTCAAATGAAGAGAAGTCTCAACTGCTGTCTCTGGACCTGCAGTCAAGAGAGGATATTTGCCAGGTGGGATACACTGGTATGTCACATAGCTAGCTTCCAAAATCCCCTGTGGCACTTGCTAGATTTGTTAGTAAAACCCTGGATCTCTCACATAACTGAAAATCTACAGGAAACACCCTGTTTATTTACACCTGTTATATTTACATCCAGGTTTTAGAATTACCTCCAATGACAAAAAAATTTTACTGGTGATTAAAGTGTGTGTTAGCATAGACAACTGAAAGTAAGGATGAAATTTTTTTGCTCTCTAAATATATATATATACATATACACATGTAGTTCATCTGCTCTAAACAAATTCCAGCTGTGACAGTTGTGTACAAAGCAGAAAACTTAACTCCAAAAAAGAACAGCTCAAATCAGCTATTTTGTTTTGAGTCACCACCAGTTAAATCTAAACTAAATGTGCTATTGGGATGAGACAAGTTAACAGAGGTGAACAAGAGAGTTTTCAACTATTCTAAGACTGTGAAAACAACATAGAAATACTTTAATTATTTTCAAGGAACATAGGTGAAAGAGAGTAAGAGTGGGTTTTTTGCTAATGAATGTCATAGGCTTGTCTGTACATCCAACTGTTATCAAGGTGGCTGCTAAATGGATGAAATGGATTTACTTTGCCCTTTGGTACTTCAGCAGACAACATAGTACATAAGATAAATATCACTAACTAATCTAGGCAGAAAGGGCTATTGACATTTTTTATTTATTCATTTTATTTACTGAGAAAAGTGCAGGGAGAAAGGAATTAAACTACTGCTGATTTGTTCAGGTTCAACAGAGGCTGTCACGGAGACTAGATTGCAGCGGGTGTGTGGAGGGATGGAAACAGGGTATGCAAGAAAATCTGCATCACTGGTATTAGCTCAGAGGCCAGCAGCTAGATTGTTGGGAACCACATCCCTTGTCAGCACTTATTTTTACCACGAGTTTCAGTAATATGCTCTCAGGCACATGCTGTAATTCTTGGGTGGCCCTGTGCAGGGCTAGGAGCTGGACTTTGATGGCTCTTGTGGGTCCCTCCCAGCTCAGGATATTTTGTTATTCTGTGAATATCATCTCAGAACAGACTTTGTCAAAGGCCTGGGTTATGACACATTAAGTGTTTCACAAATCCAGAAGCAAAACTGGAAGCCCCACACACCCATCTCGAAATTGATGATAGTACTTTAAAGACTTGCTTTGATGGCTAGTGGTCATAGTGTTTGTGGTCCCTCATACTTGCTGAGCTTTCAAAAGGAGATCAAGAGTAGATGTGTATAGTACAAAACCCTGGAAAACTTACTGATTACCAAGAAAAAGACTTCTGCATCAGTCTCAACAGTTTTTGCCATAAACCAATTCTCCTTTTCTGTGACCTTCTTCCCTTTTCATCCCATTTCCCCCCAATCTGCTTAAACTTAACTTTAAACCAGACGTTTTCATATTCCCTCAATGCTCAAAGTACAGCATCTCTATATTCCTTTCACTTTGAGTGTATCAGTGCTTTGGGCTTCTTGTGTTCAGTCCCATGTCACTGTCCATCCCATTTCCTCATTTTGAGCCCCTACCTTCTTCTTTCTTTACTGTGTTTTCAGTCAATTTCCTTTAGCTGAGAATGGGAATTCAAGTGCTGTTTACTCTCCAGAATTTTGCTTCTTGACTTTTTTTTACCCAAGTGTTGATCAGAAAAACTGGCTTAGAATAAAGATTTTGCAAGTTGAGTTTGTGGTTTGTCAGATTAAACTCTTCTTGCTTATAACAGTCATTTTGAAAGTTTTGACTGCTTCAGCCCTGCAAGGTGCTGATCACTCTCAGCTGGATCCCAGGAAATGTGGAGATCTCTGACCTGAAGCTATTTAGGCATTTGGGTTATGTTTGACTGAGCATAGAAACTATCCCATTGATTTAAATGGGACTGCTCACAAGTTTAAAGCTCAGCATGTGCTTCAGTACTTTGCCTGGCTGGGGCCAGAGGGCTCAGGTTCCCAGAGCTTCAATACCAGCACTACCTACAAATGATACAAGATAGAACATCCTGATGAGAAGACCTGATGATCAAGTGATTTCTAACCCAATCATGC